GTAATCCTGGGATGCAGCATTGGAAAGCAGTAAAGCGTGTAATGCGCTATTTGAAGAGAACAAAAGGATATATGCTCACTTATCAGAAGTCTGACAGTTTAGAGATCATTGGATACTCAGACTCTGATTTTGCCGGATGTCAAGACAGTAAACGCTCCACATCTGGATACATCTTTATGTTGGCTGGAGGAGCTATCTCTTGGAAGTCTGTTAAACAGACTATTATAGCTTCATCAACCATGGCTGCGGAGTTCATTGCTTGTTTTGAGGCATCCAACCATGGGATATGGCTGCGAAATTTTATCACTAATTTACGTGTGGTTAATGGCATTGAAAGGCCATTGAAAATCTATTGTGATAATAACTCTGCAGTTCTTTATTCCAATAACAATAGGAGTACAACCAAGTCAAAATTCATTGATATAAAGTTTCTGGTTGTTAAGGAAATAGTTTAGAATAAGCAAATTTCTATAGAATATATAGGGACTAATTTTATGCTAGCTGATCCACTTACTAAGGGTTTGGTGCCTAAAGTCTTTCATGAGCACACTGCTCATATGGGTGTAATTCCTTATAGTACCTTAGTTTAGTGGGAGTCTCATTTATGTTTTGTGTCTTCTTTATTTTTATTTTTTTCAAATATTTGTATTATTTGTATTTTCTACAGAAATAAAGTTGATGTTCATAATTTTATTCTGAGTTTGTTTTTGTGCAATATATATATGTTGCGTTTTGAATGGATCTTTATAAAGAATAAAGTTTGGACCAGTTGGAAATAGACATGATTAAGATCACGTTGCATGTAATTTCCATGCCACTTATCCATATTTGATCTATGTCATTGAGTGCATACAATTGTGGTGATCATTGTGGTTTAGTCACATTAGATAATGATGAAAGCTGCAGTGGTTCCCTGTTGTTGTATGAGATGGACCAGATTGTTTAAGGGGAGTCTAAAAGTAAATAGCATACGGTTGCGCGCCTAAAGAATTTTGTGATATAAATACTTAAATGAATATGAAGCCCAAGTGGGAGATTGTTAGAAATTTTATTTCTAATAAATATTGTGGACTACATATATTATTTGTAGTATTTATATTAGTTATTTACATTTAGTTGGACTCAATAAAAGTGATCTAATTTTAGTGAGCCTTTAGACTGCCAACAGGAAAAAACTGATATGGACCCAAATAAGTGGAAACCAGATTTGGCCCGTTAGGGGTTAATGGGAACCCTAATAGGTTTAAAATCATAAAGATGGTCATGGTCCCCAATATGCCAAATCAGAAACACACGTCTCTCTGTCTCTCTATCAGAAGAGTAACATCAAGTCCCATCAATGAATCCATTGATTTGGCTGAGGAAGATCATTACACCAAAAGACTATTCCGCTGCAACCTTTTGATCAACGTCAATAGATACAGGTACGTGTTATTATCATTAACTCTGTAATCTGAGACAACGGTTCTTAATATTGATAAATGGAAAATTTCTATTTGGCTTAAGAAATTTATCTCAACATCTATTACTTTATTCATACTAATATTTTAACTTATGTGTTTTATTGATTAAATTTTTATTATATATAACTATATTTTATAATTATTTTTTTATAAATAAGTATTTTATTGAATAATAAATTATATTTAAAATTTATATAAATATTTTTTTTAACTGATATTATATTTTATATTTTAGGTAAATAATTTATATTTTGATAAAAAAAAATTTAATTATTAATAATTTATTTTGAAAATTTATTGCTTAAATAATTATGATAAATAAAAAATTTGAGTTAGAAGAAGTAAGAAAACATCGAAAAAAACTCCCGTTGAAGGGTAATTCTTAACAAGTATAAGTGTTCTTACGTAAGATAGTTACGCCAACTTGAATGATTTGAGTTTCATTATTATTTACTTTATCATTATATATATTTTCACTCCTAAATTTTTTGATAATTTTGTTTTTAGTTTTTGACTTTATTTGATTTTAGTCCATGATTTTTTTCCCATAAGTAAAAAATTTGTCGTTAGATGTTAAATTATTAGTGAAGAGAAAATTTTAATGATTAAAAATGAAAATTGACAAAAAATTATAACTAAAATTTTAGGGACAACAAAAATAAATAACTATTTACTTTAATTTTATAAATACTATGTAATGAATAATATCAAAGTATCTAATTTTATATTCGTTTTTTTTTTTGTCAAAAATAAATATTTAAAGTATGTTAACAAATTATAACTAAGGATTATCTTAAAATATATCATTAATGTAATTGGCTATCATATTCCAAAAAAAAACAAGTGAGTTGTTTAGCATATATTAGTAGAATTTGTTACCATACACACTTATTTTTTTAGTTTAAATACATCAATGGTCTAACATATTTTAACTAAAAAAACAAGTCAAAAATGTTACCAAACATTTAGGGGTGTATTGGATTAGGATTTTAAATGACTTTTTTAGTTAAAAAAATCTTGCAAATTTTAAAAGACTTTGCAGAATTTTCATGACTTTTAACACTTTGTAGGATTCTGCATGACTTTAAATTAGGATTTTAATGAATTTTACGGAACTTTGTAAATTTTATAGAATTTTCGTGAATTTTTTACATATGATAAGATTTCAAAAAAAAATTCATACGTTCAAATTTTAAAAAAGTCAAAAATAAAAATAATAAAAAAATAATTATTTCTAGATAAATAATAATAATAATTATCCATAATATCATATTCTCTTAAATAGCATTCGCCCATGTATTCATAGTTATACTAGTCCTCCAAGCATTAGCGTCTTCTCGCTCTTGCTCGTGAGTTTGAATAATAAGCTCAAAAATATGACATTCATTAACTAGTAATGTTGAAGATGAAGGATCAAATACCTTGGTCATTATAAAAAACATGTAAAAATAAAAATATAGAAACATAAGATAAATTTTTTATATAAAAAAATCAATATATTCGATATTGAGAAATATTTAGGTATATAAATTTTTTTATATAAACGAAAGTATTTAGATACAGAAAAAATATTTATATATATGTATATATATATATATATTAGTATTTTAGTTATATATTATATGATATTTTTTTAACAACATTTGTAAATGTAAATTATTATAACAAATATTTTAACAATATTTCCTTTTTTTTTAAATAAGTTAATAGAGACATAAATCCTAAACCCTAAAAAATTAAATGCTGCAATGCCTTATGTTAATTTCTTTTCTTTAAAGTATAAAAAAAATCCTAATTTCACAATATAAAAATTTTAAAAATTCGTAGTAAAAATAAAATAAAATATTTGTTGAGTTATAAAAGGAAGAGGGATAAGAGTAACAAACTCAAGGGATGGAAAGAGATCGCAGTTTTTATGTTGAGAGGATTTTTCCCCAACTAAGATCTATTTTCATCTCATTCTACTCATAGAAACCCTAACTCAAATTCATCTTATATATATATATATATATTGTAGAGATCATAATATCAATTTAATATTTCACCTTTTCCTTTTCTTGACGTGTGTTATAAAAAAAAATTATCACTTAGAAAGTTGAAATTTCAAACGTTTTTTTGTGTTATATGAATATAATAAAATAGAGCAAGTCAATTAAAGAGAACAAAGAGAAAAATAGAGCAAGTCAATGACCTTGTCATTTACATATCGGAGTTTCACAAAATAAAGGAATGGAATGGGAACAATACTACAATATTATATATGAACAATGAACAGTAGTGCAGTATTATTAGTAAAACTCAATTTTTGACCTAAACCTAAAACTAAACAAAAATCTAACATATGCAACATCAAACAATAGTTATACACATTACAACTAACACATGCATGCACTTAGAATCAACAAGCAACCACGAATCATTCAAGACCGTCACATTCTTCCTATGAACCCCAAACCCCAACCTTCACATAATCTTCTTTAATTGGGTTAACTCAACTATAGCATCACAAAATCCAAACAATATTTAGGACTAAAATTAACCAAAATGCAACATAAAAGCCACAAATCCATCTTCCCTTACCTCGAAAATCTCTATGTCAAGGAAAGGAAAAGGAAAAAAGAAAAAAAAACAACTCCAAGCGGATGAACAAGCTTAATTTAAAGTTTTTGCTAACCTTAATCAACAAACAACACTTTACTTATAATTAAGAAAGCAAAAGTGGAAGATTTATAGTTAAAGGAAACTCACAAACCAAAATCCTTATCTTTAAAACTTTATCTCTCTAGAATTTTGAGAACTTGAGTTTATGAGATTCTATTTTGAATAAAAATCTTATATATTTTTCTTCTCAAGGTCAAACTAACTCGAGTTTATGAGATTCTATTTTGAATAAAAATCTTATATATTTTTTTTCTCAGGGTCAAACTAGTATGTTGTAAAGAGAAATCCCTCTAATTACTACAACTCTTAAAAAATTCTCAACTTCTAAAGTTTTTCAACACTGATGAGCAGTTCAACACTACACTCGACATATGATTAAAACAATTATTAGTCTTTAATATTTATAGTGATACACTATTAATAATGATAGTTCTCAAATTTTTAAATATAAATATTCTCACATGAGTTTTTTTTTTCTTCACAATTTATCACATATAAGTAAATATCCTCGCTCGAGTTGTCATGCATGTTTTCCTTCCAACATTCCACTATTAGGATTTGAAATTTTGACATTTTAATTAAGAAACACAAATTGTTATCACTTGTAACAATCAATATTAGTATTATATATATATTATATAAAGGGAATACTACTTTTTGGTGTATACTTTTTCAAAGATAATGATATCTTTATGTTGTATTTTATTTTATTTTTCTACTAATTTATATTTTAAGGATAAAATAGAAGAAAAAAATATAAAAAATTATCATTTTATTTTTTTTAGAAATACTAATTTATTTACTTTTTCGGGAAGCAGAGATTATTGATAATAATAACTGAGGATTTACATGTCAATTAAATAATCTTATTCTTCCGGAAGCAAAGAGCCAAAGACGTGGCAACGATGGACGACCTTTCAGCGAAACGAGCGCCCTCAGACTACGGCAGCACAGAACAATCGAGAAGAAGCAGTCCCCACGACGACGCGTTTTGGACTTTGGACAAATCTCTTACAAAAGCAGCGACAGAGAAATCTCGCTGTTGACAGCAACGATGGCCTCCGCGTACAGTTGCAGGGAATGCGGTTCCAACCTGAATCTGAACTCCGGCTACGCCTACCCTCCGGACTTCTACTTCGAAGCCGGCAACAAGGGCTCCGTCTCGTTCTCGGCGGTGGACGCCACCAGGTTCACCTTCGAGAAGGAGGACAAGATCCGCCCCTTCTTCGAAACCCTCAATTACTGGGGGATTCAGCGCAAGAGGACCAAAATCAAGTGCTCCGCCTGTGCACGTCTCCTCGGCTACGTCTACGATGACGGTCCACCGCTCACCGATAGTCCCGGTCAGTTTCACATGGGACCCAGCCAGGTCATCCCCAGAGCTCCCAGATACAGGTTTAAGACCAAAGCCCTCACAATCACTTCCGCTTAGCATACCACACACCATGTAATGTAACATTTCATACTTTTTTCTTTCCAATAAAATGCTGCCTATTGCGTTAATTAAACTACGACTTATTATAGTTCACAACTGAATTGAACCAAACTTCTCTACTTGCATAACTTACCAAATCCAAAGCTGCTTCGTGGATGAATGAATATGGTATCATTGATATCTTTTTGAGTTTTTTCCTATTGGACGTTATTCTCATCTTTGCTTGTGTTTGGTTTTTGTCTTTATTTTCCGTTTTCTCCATGGATTGATTATGTTTTTCGTTTTATGCTTTCTGGTGTTCCAAGTTGTAGTGTATCATAATGACTGTTTCTCTGACAAATGGATAACTGAGTTGCAAAATTACCTAGAAACTTGGTGCTCACAATAAGCAAAGTAAAACTTGCTCTCTGTCTCGGCAAGAAAGCTCTGATGTTGTTTTGAACATTCTTCAATAGCAATTTAGCAACCAACATTTACTTGTTTTACCTAAAAAGAGATTCCAATTGTAATGCATTCTCAGGGATATATAATATATGTCGGGGGTGGATGCAAAGTTCCACAAGTTTCACATCATTGGACCATCAAGAGAAATAAAAGTTTATAAAACACACGTAATTTTTATTGATATGAAATCTTTTGATAAACGATAAAAAATAAAATTATAAAAATTTAGGTCTAAAGTGAACAATATAATACTGATGTAAAGATATTTGTGTGTGAATCCCAAGTGCCTAATAGTGATATCATCACTAACAAGTGTAGTTGAAGCTCTAAGAAGTAAGGGCTACCATTTAATACTCGTAAATGAAAAATAGTTTTCCACTTAAGGGAAGATTAAATCATAGTCTTTTGTTTGAAGGGAGGTTTGCTGAAGATACAAACAAAGTTTTAAATCATTGAGTCATGAAGATAAATAAATGTTTATAAAGTAAACATAATCTCTATTAATATGAGATCTTTTGGAAGATAACTAAAAATAAACCATGAAGGTTTAGACCTAAAATGAATAATATCATAAACATATGGATGATTTTCGAGTGTCCAACAATATAATAATTAAGAAGTATGGATTATTTTTCCCTTTCCAAATATAAGGTGGTAAAGCTGTAGATCCCGCCCAAGTTTAATATGTGAACAACCCAAATTCTTATGCAAGTGATTTATGAAGGCTTGACCACTCTTTTGGAAGTTGGAAGTTTGAGGTTCAACATAGGACCTTATATATGATTTTCTTCGCTATAGGAAGGTCCCTATGCTAGGAAATCTCCCAGGGTGGAGGTCTGTTACCGCAACAAAAGAAAATTATAATAAAAAACTATGTAAACTTAATTTGCCCAATGTCATAATTAAGACAAATATAAGACCTGAAAATTTGCAGAGATTTTGGTCTGGCAGGTTGAAATGGACCTCCATCCATGTTGTTTCTTTGTTTTAGATTTTGAGATACTACAAGAATTGGATTGGTGTTCCCCCGGTCTAGAAGGGTCAGATCTAGAGTCCTTCAACATCAGTTGCACATGGCAGGGGTGGCTGCACAAAACATGCTTAACTTAGTACTTAAACCAAGTAAGACAGCATTAAGTATTTAGCTTAGCCTGGTGATTACGGAATAGCTAAATAAGTCTTTCTTTTTTTATATATGTAAATTAAGTTCTTTATATTAATAAGTTGTTTCATTGGTATAGTGCGATTAGATTCAATAATCCTTCGTAATGCGATGTATTTACATGTACTCATCTACTTCTACCTAACCTTCTTAAATTAATCATAGTTAACACTAGTTGTTTTTGTTTAAAATATTTAGCCATACTTGTTTTCAGCTTTTTGATTTGGAGAATGGCCGCGAGCGAGGAAGTGGCTAATGGTATTGGTTGGTATATATTAATTACTTAATTAACGTTTCATTATCACTGACTAAAAGAATTAGAAGTACGGCCAACGAGGACGAATAAAATTACATATATTATACCTCACTACACCGTTAAACACGGACGTTTAGTGTTAGACAGTTTATTTAGAGTATATTAAAATGAGACAGGCAAAATTTGCACGTCAAGTGAAATTTAAAGCGTAAAGAGACGTTTAGTGTTAGACACAGTTTATTTTGAGGGGCGTCCTGCCCGGCCACGTTCACGTATTGAAGATTCTAGATAGAGATAAGAAACTTCAGTCATATTGGAAGGAAGGAAAATTATTATTATTATTATTATTATTATTATTATTATTATTATTATTATTATTATTATTATTATTATTATTATTATTATTATTATTATTATTATTATTATTATTATTATTATTATTATTATTATTATTATTATTATTATTACAAACATGATTCTTTATAGAGAAAACTGTGCAAAATACAAATATGTTATTTTGGCCAAAGATAAATTTTTGATTGCTTAGCGAGTGAAACTGAGTTTAAAGTTTAATTCCCGATTTTCAATGGTATAATTCCTTATGTATGCTTAGTGAGTGAAAATGAGTTTTATTGAAAGGAAAACAAATATTTATAATAAAAAAAACTTAGATATAATTCTTTATATATAATTAGTATCATTATCCAAATAAAATTAAAATTTTATCCCAATAATATGTAATTACATTTAATATATATTTCATTAGTATATATTTATATATATTATATCAAGATAAAATTCAAAGTTGGATAACAACACTAATTATGCATAAAAATTATTGTACTTAAATTTTCTTCTTACCCTAATTTAGGATTTCAATTTAAAAACAAATAGACTTAGATTTTTGTCCTTTAATAAACCGTGTATTAGCTGGGATTCAGTTTTTTTTTTTTTTTTTTTTTTTTTTTTTTTTTTTTTTTTTTTTTTTTTTTTAATTCCACATGTGTTGTGTCAAGTTGAATGTTAAACAAATAGACGATACAAGATTATCGGTGTTTGTGACAATAGTTGAATCTCTCAGCAGATTACTAGTATTTCTTAGGTAGTATCTAACAAGAAGGAAAGAAATAGAGAGAATAAAAAAAATATTAGTTTAAGAGAAATATAATAAAATTGAAAAAATTATTAAAAATTAAATTTAAAATAATTTCTAATTAAATAATCAATTTTTATTTTTTCATTTGATATAAATTAGACTAATTTCGTTTGCCTTGATACACTTAAAATAATTAGTAAGATATTATTTAAGTACTATCACTAATTAAATGATTTATTTTGTTTTATTTTAAAGTAAAAGAAATACATTTTATCAATTTGAAGCGGTGAAATATACAATATTGTAATTAAAAGAATTAAAGTGGAGCGAAATTGAACCTAATAGAATAATGGACAAGTAAAATATTCCTTTCGATCCTTTATACCATGTTTAAATATGCTTTTAATTCATGTAAAATGGGTGAGTTAACTTTAAGAAAAAAATCAAAATAAGAATATGTACATTTTGCATGACTAAAAACATATTTAAATTAAAATTATTTGATGTATTAATAATCATAAATATATCTACTTGCAAGTATAAAAAAAATTAATAATTAATGCATCTTAATATATTTAATAAGATTGGAGGAAGAGGAAGTATTATTATATATTCTTAGGAGTTAAGACTGAAGACGGGTAAGTGAGTGGATTGAGAAATAAGATAAGATACAACCACCATTCCAATTTGTTTTTATTGTTTTCCACCATCCACACGCAACTACCATACGAGGTAAAATACCAATATCCTGGCTGACTCAGAAACTCCACATGCAACAAAGTCCTATATCTATCGGTGTAGCTAGCTAGAGAAGTTGGATAGTGAGTTAGATCGCAGAATTAATTGCCACAATTATTTCATGTCACGACCCTTTTAATTTGACATAACATAGCTTTGGAGGCAAGTGACAGGTGAATAGAGTCAGAGATCAGTGACAATGAAGCAAAGAAAAGAAGAAAGTGTTGGTCATGAATCAAAGGCAGAGGTGCTTCCAAAGTTATCACCTCCAAAAGCAGAAGAGAGTGTCACAAACAGAGAAATTGCCAAGTTTTGGAGGCAGAAAAGGATCGAGGAGGAGGACCACCTCCTTGCTGCTATTAAAGCTGCAGCTAGACTCCGTGCACGCACCCTCACGGTATGCTTCATGTTCATGTGTCAAATTAATAACATAATATATATATGATCATCGACATACGAGAAATTAATGTTTTGTTTTTGATCTGTACGAGGTAGACATATATGAATTCTGTAACAGTGATATTAGTGTGATTCTTCATCCCCATGTTGTAATTTTGTTCCATGATTGATGTTTTACAGGAACAAGAGTATCAGAGATTCGAGTTCTCGCTGATGATCGATCATACCTATGACGAAACCGAGAAAGAGACGGTTAAACGGATTGTGGGGACGAATGTTTATTGCAAAACAGTTGCTATGGACAAAGAAGTGCGCGTCGGAATAAAGGACTGGTTAGTAAATTACTTTTATAGTTTTTAAAATATCTAAAAAAAAATTAATTATTTAAAGTAAAAATATATATAAAACTATAAGGACCAATTAATTTGAAGTCAATGGTTCTCGGTGTTCCTCTTAATTACTAGGACAAACTGTAGTGGGGTAAAAAGGAAGAAGAATTTGAGTCCATTTCGTTGTGCCAAAAGATTCTTTTGCCTTCTATTCTAGATAGATGCAGCAGGCAGCAAGTTGATGTTCTATTCAGTGGCTGGTGTAGGACTGTGGGGTTAGGGTGACACAAGATATGAAAACAAAAGACAGTCACAATGGAGCAATTTGATTGAACTTTTGGGTATTCAAGAAATGACCAATAGGAGAATTAATAGAGAGAATAGGAAATTGAGAGTTGTACGAAACCTAACAACGTATCTAGACCAAACAGAGTGCTTCATCCCTTCCATTTCCACTGTTTTTCTAATGTTATTTTAGATAAGAGTCCTCCAAATAAAATAAGGAAAATTGTTAAGCAATCAATAATGATGTGTACATGATCACTTAAAATTATTATTATTATAATTATTTTATTGGGGAAAAGAATACGAGTTGTTGTGAGATGTGCAGGTGGACGAAAAGCAAATATGCGTATTTGAATGAACCAGCCATAGATTCGATGGATTCTGCTAAGAAACGAAGCTCAAAGTATATTCCGAATTGTCTTTCTTACAAGCCCAAGGCTTTGTATGCTTCTGCTATTGGTGTCTTTTAAGCCGCAGGGGGCATTCCTTTGTTATTTCTTTCACCATTCTCTTCTTTTTTATGCTCCAGTCTTTCATTTCCCATTCAAATCTGTATTTTGTGTTTCTTGGTGCGACTCTGTTTTCTTTCATGAGTGCTGCTGGACATTCTTAATAATATGTCGGTATTTTATGTGTCATTCGTCTGTTTCAATTTTTTTTATTCGTATTTTTTAGTTATATTTTCTCTAGAATACAGTAAAGTTTAATTAGTAAAAATCATGTTTCCTAAACATAATTAAATTAATTTTTAGCTGTCAATTCTAAATCATTAAATATATAATTATTAGGATTAGTCTAATGATTAAGTGAAAAGGGATTGAGATAATTAAAAATATAAGATCTAGATTCAATTTTCATTATAATCAACTTTGTAATATTTTCTAGTTTTACAAAAAAAAAAATCATAGACATATCATAAAAATAAATAATCATATCAAGATAATTAGATATTCAATATAAATCATCAGAAATATTTATAAAAATAGATAATCATATATTCCAGACAATTAGATATTCAATTATATAACTCTTCTTGTAAGAACTCAAACCTTAAGTTCTCACATTATAAATACTAGTAGAAAAAAGGTATTTCGTGCTTGCATTGTATTAAAAAAATGAGAAACTATTCATTAAAAAAATAATTATTAAAAAATAAATAAAAAATAAAAGAGTTTATATAAAATAAAATAAAAATAAAAATTAAATAATAAAAGTATATTAATCTAATTGGTATTATGATTAATCTATTAATTTTAAGTTCTTAAATTTGATAAAAAAATATTTTTTCTAATTTTTTTAAAATAAAAGGGTATAATGATCCAAAAATTGTGGAGACCAAGATAGTTACTAAAAAAGGCTATTCCCTTTATATATTAGTATAGGTAGTTTGCAAAAATGAGTTCGAACCGTTTTAAACCAAATCATAAAAATTGAATTGTATGTTTTGAGAAAAAATTGAATTAAATTATTAATGAAAACAATTTGATTTTTATTAAGTATATGTTTGGTTCAAATTTTTAAGTAATTTATCATGTCAAAATGGAAATTATTAAGTGTAATTTTTGTATCATAGATGTTAATTTATAATTCGATTTATTTTTTTTTTACATGTGTCTAAATACACGTGAAATCAATTATATAAAGTGATTTTTTTTTATGAAAAGCCAAATCATATGAATGTGAAAAGAAAAACAAAACCAAACTAAACTAATCTACCAAATCTGAATTATTTTGAGGGAAAAAAATCAATCTATTTTACATAAACAATTTAGTTCAAATTGAATTGTTTTTATAAAGTTGTTTCATTACGTTCAAATTTTTAAAAACACTCATACATATGGTCCTAATCATAGGACACTAATCCTATTCTCTATAGATATTTCTTGGTTATGCGTAGTGTTGGGAATACTTTTTCTTCTTCTTTGGTTTTAGGTTTGTGTCAGGATTAATGAACGTTAAAGCTTTGGCGTTTGGTCCATATCTATTATTAAGGTCTACTTAACAAATGTCTTACTAATGAAGTAATGAATAAAAATATATAATTAAAAATATCCAATAAATATAAACTTAAATATATTACTTGTAAATATTAATAAAAGTGATACCGTGATTTAGTCTCTATATTTGTTTAAATATTTTTTTCCTAAAATTAATTCTACAAACTACTCCAGGTTGGCCCTGGATCTAGGTTAGAGGGACGACTAGTCGGGACAAAGCAAGAAGAGACTTGAAAAAATAAGAGTATATAGTTCTATAATATATTTTTAATATTGGTTTATATTATATATTAAAATTATATTTAAAATAAATTACATTATCTTCCTTTGATAGATAAGAGTATTATATTATTTTTCATTTTTGTGTTAAAATATACAATTTAATTCATTTAACTTAAATTATACTCTCCTCTCCCGAGAAATATAAGTATTATAATATTCATTCTTTATATGTTAAAATATGAATTAAATTACATTTTAATTCCTTAGAGATACTACTATTATATTAACTTAATATTACTAAATAATAATCATTCTAAAATTTTTAAAATTACTTTTAAATTAATTATTCATAAAAAATACTTTTAATTAAAATATTTTTAGTTCATTTTCATTCAATCATTTGATTAAAAAATTTAAAATGTATCATTAAATTTAAATTAATTATTAAAATAATGAATAAAATAAATTATATATGTATATCTTTATATGCACACGTCAATGTGTATAATATAAATTGTCTTATATATATATATATATATATATATTAAATTTTGTAATAATTATATTTTATTTAATAGTAAATTTTTA